AAATAGGGAAGGGTGGAGGGGGTGAAGGGAGGGCTAGGAATGGGGAAAAAATAATAACCAAGATGCATCATGAAAAGGTACAAGTTCGCAATGAGAAATGTAAATGTGTTGTATACCTAAAATGTACCAATAAAAGAATTTAATTAAAAAAAGAGTATTGCCTCAATGTGGATCCATTTATCTATAAATATCTCTAGTTTCTCATTGTTTCTGGCCCAGTAATGCTCCATTTTATTAAAAAAACACATTTTCTTTATCCAATCTCCAGTTGATAGGCAAATGGGTTGTTTCCAAGTTTGGGCTATCACGAATTGTGCTGCTATGAACCTGGGTACACATACATCACTGTGGCATGATATTTTTAATTCTTTGTGGAAGACACCCAGCAGGGAAATAACAGGGTCAAACAGGTTTTCCAGGCCTAGTTATTTGAGGTATCTCCATACTGATTTCCACAGTGGTTGCATCAGTCTACACTCCCACCAGCAGTGGAGTAGAGTTCCTTTTTTCCCACAGCCCCACCAGCATTTGTTATTGGTTGATTTCATGATGGCAGCCATTCATTCTGGGATGAGATGGAATCTAAGTGTTCTTTTCATTTGGATCTCTTGAATGAACAGGGATGTTGAACATTTTTTCATATGTTTATTTGCTATTTCTACTTCTTTTTCTGAGAAATGTGTGTTCATTTCAGATGCCCATTTTTGGATTGGGTCTTAAATTTGGGAGATCTGATGTTTTAAAGTTCTTTATATATTCTAGATAGTAGACCATTTTCTGAGGGACAGCAGGTGAAGATTTTTTCCCACATTGGGGGTTGTCTCTTCACACTGTTGGTGGTTTCTCTTGCTGTGCAGAAGCTTTTTAATAAAACAGATCCCATTTGTTTATTTTTTGTGCTCATTCACGGGCAGCTGAGGTTTTGTTCATAAAAACTTTTCTTATACCAAAGTCTTCAATAGTTCTTCCTAACCTCTATTCCAGCTGTTTTAGTGTTTCTACTTTAATATTTAGATCTTTGATCCATTTCAATTTTAGTTTAGTGCATGGTGAGAGATGTAGGTCTAGTTTTAATCTTTGGCAAGTTGAAACCCAATTTTTCCAGCACCATTTATTAAAGAGGATGTCTTTCCTCCAGTGATGGTGTTTGGCTCCTTTGTGAAAGATGAGGTGGCTGAGTCTGTCTGGAGTTGTTACTGCATCTTCTAATCTGGTCCTAAGACCTGTTTCTTTGCGAGTACCATGCTGTTTTTATCACAGTAGCTTTGTCGTATAGTTTGAAGTTGGGGACTGTGATACCAACTACCTTGTTTTTATTGTCTAGTTATGCTTTTGCTATTGTAGGTCTCTTCTTCTTTCAAATCAATTTGTAGATTGTTTTCTCCAGGTCTGTGAAGTATTCTGCTGGGATTGTAATTGGGATTGCACTGAATCTATATAGCAGTTTTGGAATTATGGCCATTTTCACTATGTTAATTCTACCTAGCCAGGAGCAAGGGATGTCTTTCCATTTTCTGAAATCCTCTTCAATCTCTTTTTTCTTTTTTTTTTCTTTTATTTATTTTTTTAATTTTTAAAATATATATATTTATTGGTACATTTTAGGTATAAAATACATTTACATTTATCATTGGGTGTTTGTACCAGAACATGATGCATCTTAGT